CAGCAGGAAGTTGATCGTGGGCACTTTTCCCCAGATGCTAAAATGAGCAGTGGCCAGGAGAGGAATAAGGGAACTGGACTGTGCCTGCGGGGAGGGGAGGGAGGTCAGCCCAGAGACTGGTTCGCTGGGTGCCTTTTGAGGCTGGTTCCTGGGATGTTTGTCAGGGAATGGCTCTGGAGAGGCAAAGCCAGGGCACTCTTGTTTTCACTTTGGTTTCCCCCAAGGTGGCCAACAGTAACAGGTCAATCAGCAGGGAAAGGCAAAGTGACTTCAGTCCTAGATCAGGAGGGAAAATTGAGTCCTTTTTAAAATTTCTTCCAGAAGTTTAAGTGCTTTGGAGAACGCTCCCCCACCCCCACCCCCCCAAAACAGGTTCCTTGTTATCGTTGTTGTTGTTGTTTTGTTTTTTTTTTCCGGCCATGCTGAGCGGCTTGTGGGATCTTAGTTCCCCAACCAGGGATAGAATCTGGGCCCATGGCAGTGAAAGCACCGAGTCCTAACCACTGGACGCCAGGGAATTCCCAAAAGTTCCTTGCTTTTAAGTCTCCCAGGATGCCTGACTGTATATCTTCCTCTCTGACTCATCCTTGTCTCTCCCAAGTTTAGTGCCTGTGCCAGGCACATTTGAATCCCCTCACCTAGGCGGCTCCACTTTCCCTGCTCCTGTGTACTGCAGCCATGGCCAAATGGTCTAGGTGGCAGACGGCTAAGTGCCCTCAGCATTTTGGAAGCCCTGAAGGGGTTGGCTCCCTCAGGCTTGGCCTTGCCTGAGGTGTTTCTGGGTCAGCTCCTGCCCATAAGGTCTGGGTATAAAACTTCCCTGGTTGGTAGAGATTGACCTTGATGGTTACATTTGGGATCAGAGGCCCCAGCACACAAAATGTACAAGGCCTCACTTGTTTTGGGAAAGCATTTGGCAGGTGGGTGTGTGACCCAGCTTTGGTCCAGTGGAGCTCCTGTGTTAGGAGAGAAGCCAGCTTTGTTCTTTGGGTACCAGGGTGATCATTTCCCATTACCTTCTTATAATATTGGGTATTTTCTTTCTAGTTGTGTAGGATGGATGAAACTCACCAAAGCAAAGTGAAAGTTGTGAAATTCAGGGGACCTAATTCCGTTTTGAGAAAGCCTTCTAAACTTCCTTAAGAAATACTAGAAATAGCCTGCTGTATATTTCTTCTTTGTATTTCACGGTTTTTGACATGCATAAACAACTTTCTTTCCATTACTTTCCAAGAATTCCCCAATTTTCTTTATTTTTGGTTATCTGCTATCTGGGGGTTGCGTGGACAAGTCTCCAGTAGATTTATAAAGTGGGCCAGTAGTCTTATTGCAATGAATTCTCTGGTTAGTGGAGATAGGCATCATCAAAACGTCACGGTTAATGGAACAGTTCATGTTATATGGAAAACCCTCTTTTCTAGTTTCAATATGGGACATAGGAGAATAGCAGCGCAATACCAAATACTGCTGTACATTTGCAAAATCTGCACACACTTTCACTTTTGGATGGGTAACTCCTAAAAGGAGCCAAAGACATATGACTCTGAATCACAGTGTTTCTTCTTCCTGTTTGTAAACAGGCAGGTGTTTCCCCCACAAGTCACTGTTTGGCTTGGATGGGTTTAAAATTTGGGTCAGGATAGCACTTTTCAGAATTCTTTCTTACATCTGGAAACCCAAGGCTGTGCCTACAAATAAATGCCTCCAGAGGAGGGAGTGTGTTCATGGCGTTTTCTTTCTTTTTCTTTTTCTTTTTTTTTTTTTTTATCGGGCTAAGTGACTTTATTAGAGAAAGCCAAGATGACAACGGACTTAAGAGTTGGCCTTGGGGCCCTTCTTCTTGCCAGAGGTAGGCACAACATTGACAAAGCACCGGTTGTACCGCATACGCCTCTTGGCCCGGCCCGTCGTCGTCTTCTTTTTCTCTTGTTTGGCCACCTTCAGTGTCTGACCTCTTACTTTCCCAGCTCGGGCCAGGGAACCATGGACTTTACCTCCAAGCATGCGGCCGGCTACTTCCAGAGTGCTCAGAGCCTCCACCCCACACTGGCCCAGGGTAGCCTCATCCTCTAGGGGCGTGCCTGCCATGAGCAGGACTTGATCTTCTGGAGCGATGCCCTCCAACGAGGCTACATGAGCCTTGATCTGGGCGACCGTCTCCTGGCCGGTCACCTCGAGAGTGTGTAGCTCCCGGGCGCGGACAAAGAGCTGCCTGTTGGTGACTGAACCGCGGATACCACTGCCGCTACCGCGAAGATGGAGTCAAGAAAAAGCCATGGCATTTTAAGGCAGTAATCTGGCCTCTCACAAATGTGTGAGCATAGGGGCATGAGGTACCTGTTATATGTACAAAGCTCCTGTGTATGCATCCCCTTTCCAGGTACCAGCAGATGTGGAGAAATGTCAGGATCGGATGGAGTGTTTCAATGCTGATCTGAAAGCCGACATGGAGAGGTGGCAGAACAGCAAGAGGCAGGACTTCCGGCAGCTGCTCATGGGAATGGCCGACAAGAACATCCAGTATTATGAGAAGGTAATGAGCAGGCTGACAGGATGACAGTCCTCTCCTTGAGGAAGCGTTTCTAATGGCCAGAGCCTCTGGTCAGGGCCTGCCGAAAGTCCAGAAGGGTCCTGCTGGGCCCATCTCCTTCCCTTAATTTATGTGTTTAGTCTTAGCAACCCCTATGTGTCCTCACCCTGCTGTGCTAGATGTGGTGCTGGGTTTGGAAGCCAGGGGGTGGGGCGGGGGGGCCCTGGGTGCCCACAGGGGTTTCACTTGCACACCCTGCTGACGGAAGCAGCAGTTTTATCCTCCAAGCCTTTTAGTTCTTCCAGCGGCCGCTTCCCAGTCAGTCAGGCGTGCAGCGCAGGGATGTCCCCAGTTGATAGAGGCTTCGGGGTTCCTTTAAGCTGTTCTGTGGTTCTTCACACAGGGGTTCTTCCTTCATTGTGCCATGGGTCCCTTTGGTCATCTGGTGAAGCCTAGAGACCCCTTATCAAAATACTGTTTGTTTTTTTAAAATAGACTTTGAAATACTGTTTTTAAGTACCTAAAACAAAGGGATGTAGGACTACAAAAGAAAACTGTTAAAAACAGTTTTTTTGCTGAGTCCCCTTAATTTGTGGACTTCAAGGTAAGCATCCTGCCCGCCACGCTCACACACATGCAGCTGTTGTCATCAAGCTGCAGCCGAGTATCCTCAGTCAAAGTTTGCTCCTAGCACATCCAACCCTA